AAAACAAGTATATACTGACATTACTTACTGAATGTCCATTATTTGCTGAGTATTAATGTTTTTAAAAAACAAGAATAAAAACTCAATAATAAAGAAAATAGAATAATATCACTTTGGTACATCAACTTAATGGTAGGAAACTTTTGGGAAAACAAATTCTTTATCTCTACTGTCAGTTTTTCCTTGCTGTTCTATTCACACAGATCTTCATATAAATTTACATTACTACATCACATTTAACCAATTTCAGAACATTTATATAATCAAGGAAGATTTGTGCCACTCAAGATATGAACAAAGATTGTAACTTCTATTTTAAAACCGATGAGGCATGAAAATACTTCTATACTTGAAATCATGAAAGATTCCTTTTTCACACACCCCCTCAAAGGAAAAAAAACTAGAAAATGATGCTAGCATTCCAACAAATTCATATACTCATGGTGATTATGTTCTTATTACTACAATACAATTTCCGGGAAATCAAGTTGGTCCTGTTAGTACTAGCATCTACTCCTGCCACGCCCATGTGATCTGCCCCTCTGTTCTCCATTGTAGGGTGGAGCATCATAAATGATACCACAATCTCACGGCCTGCCCATTACCACCCCTCTCTCACAATCCCATGAGTCTTATTAAAAAATAAGCACACTAGCACTCTAACAAATGCTTATTAAAAAGTGTGGCACTGTGGCACCAGTGTCAGCACATGCATGTTTCACACATAGCCTTCTCTATACATTAAACACACACTTAATGAGTCTGGAAAAACAAGAGTTCCCCCAACTCAGAATCTGCTGACACTTAACAAAAAAAACTGTAAACTTCTCCAAACCAGTATCTCACACCTGCAACTCAAGTCCAAAATAAGGGGAAGAAAACACAGGGTGCAAGTACTAATTTTCAGTTCAACCATTCCAGTGAAATGAGATGTCACCTCACTTTCTAAATGCAATTCCCAATCGACAACAAATTGATCTGTGAATCTCTGGGTTCCCTTTTTTAGTCATCCACAGGTTTTAGTCATTCACATGCAACATGAGAAGATGCAATTCTCATATGAAGGTCTTATGTATTAAAAACTCTGGAAAAATCTGGTTGGGAAAGAAATGAAGTAAGGTTCTACTTTTCAGTTTCACACATGAACACTCTCCCACATCAACATGGATAATCTAGAAACTGGCTAACTCTAATACCTAATTTTTGGATGTCACAAACAGATTATTATACTTCTTTGGGAATAAAGGAACTCTAAGTTGCCACCTACTCTTTGGTTTTAAGCACCGTATGACTAAACACACAAAATATACAAATACCATTAACCAATCTCTAAAATAAATTGATCTAAAACGTCTTATATGAGGAAATAATACTCAACTTAGTTTCCTCTTTCCAAATGTTTTATTTAAAACTAGGCAATTAGCTGAGTTTTTACCAACAGTGTACCAAAGAGAGTTATTAGTATCATTTTAACCAAAATCACCAGACATTCCCTCATTTCCTCTATTTTGAGTACTGTTATCAATAATTTTACAGAGGAACTATATAGCTATTAACACTTATTTAATAACTTCTGAATCTGGACATAAGCAAAAAAAATATTAGCTTCACCATAGTAAACAAACAAAAAAAATTTCAAATATACTATTTAAACTTATGATGAATACTTAACGAAAGTCAAAAACTACTTGTTATAAAATCAAGTCTTAATTTCTGCCGAACAAAAACCAAGTGAAGGTTGCTTTTATTATTACCATTATTTTTAATGTGAGGTTTACCTGAGAACAATCATATTTATGAAAAACAAATTTTAAGTTATACCAAAGATTAAAGGCTATTATATCTAAAATTTTTAAATCTCACTTTATTGCAAAAAATTATTTTCACTGGTTCTGAATAAACAACCATGGAATATCGTAACTAGGTTTCAAATGTGAAGCTCTTTAATATACACGAAAAAAAATTTTTTTAGAAACTTAATGGAAAGCATTTAAATGAAAACCTTTAGTTTACTACTTCCAAAAATAAATCTGGTATTTTTAGGTGTAGAAAAATTAGAAACTGTGCAAGTGATAGGCTGAAAAGTTAAATATCATTGCCAGTAACCAACTGCTATCTGCTGAATTTCAAGGGAACCTACTGTATATAAAATTTTTACAAAGTGAACTCATCTACCCTCTCATCTCAGCACTTTCTCAACTTTCCCATTACAATCAACAATATAATTTGCAGTCAAGTCTTCCAGACCAATAACATCAGAATTTATTTTTAACTTCTGACTCCTTCCCAAGTACTCCCCTTCAATCCAACCCAAAGTCCTGCCAGTTTTTCATTCACTGTTCTCACATGTGTTCTTTTCATACCATTTTCACATTTTACTTTACAGTACCTCATGATTCACAACACACCTTACTACCTCCCTACAAGGGCTCTAATTGCTCTAATTCTAATCCATCAACTCGGCTGCCCAAATCATCTTCAGTATCTTGGTTCAGTCATCTACAGCAAATTCCAATTTCTCTTGAATCTCAAGAGAAAGGTCCCTCTACCCTCCGTCCACTGATGTTTTATTTCTCAAATCCCATCTCTCATTTTCCTATTTAGGCTCCTTTAATTCAGATTTACCAACTTGCTTGGTAAATACAAAAATTATTTTTCCCTATTGTACAAAACTCACCGTCTCTGTGCCTCTGTCCATTCTTTCCATCTGAATCCTTAATGTTTCTCTTATCAACTGAAGTTATTGCCTCCTTTAACACCTGTCTTTAAACACACCTCTGCAGAAAGTCTTCTCTCTCCAACCCATTTACCTTACTCCTTTATTCTTTGTCCTTCTGAACAAAGCATTGCATCTACATTCATAATCTTACAGTCATCTTGGTATTATCTTCATATTTTTGTCCCCCAAACCCCCTGTACTACTAAATGGCTTTTGAGACCAAAGAATACAATTTCTTATGTATATCTCTCTTTTGAATGAGGGTCCCCTAGAACACTAGAACGCTAATAAATATTTAATAATTCCCCTTTCTTCTAAAATGTCCTTAAAGTCAAGGTTGTCAAATACAATTAGCACTGAACTCCAACTTCTTTAAATGTTCTTATAGGTAAGAGGAAATTAAACATTTTAATCTATACACTTTACAAAAGTCAACATCCATATTATGAAAAATTAAGGAGCCATTTTCAAAGAAAATCTTGCGGGGGGGAAAGAAGTAAAAAATATAACATTATAAGCTATTTTATTTTGCTTCTCTGGAGTAGATCTAATAAATTAATTACCCAAAATTGATTTCAAGTGCTTTTTAAACTATATTACCAAGATGAAAAAACAAACACTCCAGTACCACAAGAGGCTCTTAAGTAGCTATTATAGGATTTGCTTCATCATTGCTGAAAACTACCCCAGAATTTTAAAATATTCCATTCAAATGACCCCATGAAATGCTTAGATAGCTTCACCCTTCCCTGAAAGATGCATCATCAGCTTCCCTCTTCACATACTCTGCACTCTGTACTAGCTAGTCACCCCACCCTCCCCCCACATTAACTTTCAAAAATAATCTCCCATTCAGTTATTACCTTAGACTAACTACCCTGTTCCAAGGAAGTGCCAAAAGACATCATGAATTGAAATCTTGAGTTAAAGTCATTTTATGTTGCTTAAGAATATAATCGACTTCACATAAAAACATACTTAAAAAATCTGTTTTTCAGTTCTCTTCTTCTAGGCAACAAAATAGTTCGTCTTTGCCTTCATCATGCACCCTTCTCATGGAATAATACAACTTTTACCAAGTTCTGCAAGTATGTTTAAGTAAACTGTCACTAAATAGCACATAAATAGGTCCACAGATACACTGAAACACTGGATACTCAGTACGTCAAACATCTCAAGAACATAGACTTTTCAGCACCAATCTGGGACAAGAGTACCGTACACTCTATCAACAACCATGAACACAGCCCAAATATCCCTACAATATCCAGGGCCACGCAGCCTTCTGCAAATCCTATGATAGAAAAGTCTAAATCAATATCCTCACAACTAAATCCACAGTTTTATCTAAATGTGACAGGAAACCAATGCAAGAGTATTTTTAACTATCCTAAGAAGGGACCCCCTGACCTCTACATCATTTAACAAGTACAAAATGCACTGGCACCCCAAAATTAAACTTAAATGACAAGTAACCACATTCAACTTAGCACTTGGCGACATGACAATACAAACCTCAATAAAAAAACTGTACTTACTTCCAAGTTACCTTCTGATTAAGCATTATATAGTGGTAGACTGGTAATGTCAAAACGGGAAGGTTCAAAGATAACACTTTAAACAATGCACGTACAAATACTACTGCGACTGGGTATCAGCAGCTCCCACCAGCCCCTTGTAAAGGAATCGATGCTCGCCTCCCAGTGCGAACGCTGGTTACTAAGCAAGTTCATCTCAGGATTAAGAAGAAATACTTCGTATAGTCAGTCATACAAACAAAAAAGACATGTTAAAAGACTGTAACACTCAGTCTATTAAGCATACAAAACTATAACCCCTGAAACCTGAGCTAACTAAAGAAGCTCTCCGCAAATATCCCTCATTCCAAAAGACATAAACTAAGCAAAAATACACAATGGTTTATGAATCAAGTCTCATCCTCTTACCCAAAAGGATGAGCAAGTAAACACTTCCATCAGTATTTTAATACTCAAGCACTTAATAAAGCTACCAAAGGCAAGGAAAGTAAAGAAAAAAGTTTCAAACCAAATATCCGAAAAATCGTATTTTCTCAATTCAAGGTTAATGAGACCGGTGGAGGGTGTATGTGGGAGGAGAAAAGAGGGAGCTGTCTCATCCTTGACTGAAGACAGGTTTTTGCCTACTTCTATTACCTCTGACTGTTGTGTCAGAAGGCCTAAAATTTTAAGATCCTGGGACTTCAAGGTTTCTTATTTTAAGATGAGGTGGAGAAGGGGTGTAAAATAAAATCAATACTCACTGCTAACTTTCATGCTGCCAAAAGCTGAAGGCTGCTGCACTGGCTTGCAGCTCTCCGCAAAGGAGGTGGTTCTGGGCCGCCCTGACATGATTACTCTCTTCCTGAATCACCCTCTTTTCCTTTCTTCCTCCTTTTCTTCCTTTTGTTTAATGTAGAGGTGTTAGGTTAGTGACAAATGCAGCATTAAGTTCTCCCACAAGAAAAAGACTTCGTACTCTTGGCTTTTTACTCCTTTTGAATATACATTAAAATAAAACGAGCGATGTGTTTCTTCTTCAAGACTGATCAGTATGGGTATTTAACATGTAGATGATTTGGAGCTGGGGAAAAAAATACAATTCTTTCCCCTCCCTTTTCTTGGAGGGGAGAAAAGGAAGGGAGGAAAATCCTAAAAATATATATATCACACGAAATGGGGTAAATACTTGATTGAAAATAAGTACTCTGAATATTGTATTTTCCTCGGGGATTTTTTTTCCGAGTCAATGAAGAAGGGAAGCGGCGGAAGGATCACGAGTCTCACGCTTGAAAAGAAGGGGGATGGGAAGGAGGGAGGGAGAGGGAGGGGGTGGTTCGGCGATGCGACGGGAAACGCTGCGGCTCCGACAGCGGCGGGATCCGAAGGGCTGACGGCGGGGGCCCGGCGAGCTGGAGGGCGGTGGAGTAGCGAGTCAGTCAGAGGCGGGCGGTGTCGGCGGCTCCTCTCCTCATTGCGCCAGGAGCAGCTGCAGGCGGCGGCTGTATCCAGCGGCCATGGCGGCGGCGGAGGCAGCTCCCTTCAGACCCCAAGCAGCGGCTCCTCGACTGCTCCCCATACGCCGGGGACATGGGAACCCAGCAACCGCTTCCGTCCCTCGGGGCCCCCTCCCCCGTCCACCGGACCAGCGCGGCCGCCCTCCTCGCCTCTGCTCGGTGCCCACTCAGGAAGTGTCCGCGCTTTGCCCCCAGCCCGGAGTCCTGTCAGCGTCTATTGGGACAGCTCCTCCTTGCTTCCTTCCTTCCTTTGTCACTCGGCCCGGACGGCGACGGCGGCACCACAATCCCGCATTCGCCCGGGTCAGGGGCTGCTCTGTGTAAGGAGCGCCGTCTGCGCAGCCGCCTAGCTCTTCCCCACGCCTCCTCCCCCCTCCTACTCTTCCTCCGCCTTCTTCCTCCCCCACCCGTCTTACACCGCCCAGCGCCCCGCCCGCATAACAGGCGTCTGGGAATCGCCGGCCGAACCCCGCGCCTGTCCGCTTCAGTTGGGGAGCCGAAACCGGAGCTGAGCCAATCACAGACGTCGTTTGTTAGCTGCTAGCCCCGGAAAAACCCGAATGACCTAGGGAACCAATTAGAATGTGTCGCTGGAAATCCACGCCCAAAGAGCGGAAAATAACGAAGGTGCCCGAACAATGAGGTGGGTTCGCCTCACTCTGTAGTTGGCTAAAAGAGAAATTCCACGGTGATAACAGTGGCCAATCAGCGTCGCTGGCCCTCAGTAAAAACGCTTGAAGCGTTAAGGACGGTGAAACCCGAGGGTCGTCAGTGAAAAAGCACGACTGGGCCCCGGGGCCGCTTTGTAATTGGCCAAAAACTACCCAGGGAGTGTATCTCTCTCGGCGATTGGTAAATGTAAGGGGGCTTCCGAGGACAATCTGGCCAGTCAGAACTTCTCCTCCCTTGCCGAGGTGGGGAGAAGAAGAAAGCAAGGGGAGGACTTCTATAAAGTGCCTTCTCATTGGCCTGAAGCAGTGGAGCCGGAGTTGGGGCAAAAGGAAAGGGGAGGGAGGCCGAAACCCCCAGCGGTAGCCAATCGGCACTCACTACTGTCCAATCGCAAGACCTAGCTGCAGTGTGATTGGCCTTTGGCTTTCGGCGGCGGTCCCTGGAGCTGGGGGAAGCGGGCCGGGAGTTGTAGCAGACTGTGAAGGGCTCGCCTGCGGCTGCTGTAACCCTGTGTGGAAACCGCAACTAGGCTCTTCACACAGGCGGTTCGAAACTGCTGCGGTCGGCGGGGCTGGGCTCCCGTCAGGGGAGCAGAGGATTTAGGGGGCGCTCCCTACCTACTGGAGGCTCCCGGAGGGGCAGGGCTAATTCTGCGCGCCCAGGACTCCCCTCCGCCAGGTATAGCGCCTCCCAAGTGCCGGCGTCTTCCCCGAAAGGGCCAGACGGATGGCAGGGCGTCTTTCCGGCGGGGAGCGAGTTCTTGGCCGCTAAACTGGGAACAAAGCTTTCAGACAGGGCAGCAGCGCCCCTGGGTGGCCGCGCCCCTCCCAGCCGCTGGAACCATTGATTAGAAATGAGTCCGACGGCCACTAGTGAGTGTGGCAGGGCTGGCCTTCTGGAAAGGCCCCCGGGAGATGAGCTCACATTGGATACGCACGCTTCTGGGGCGCGACTTCCTAGCGCAAAACGGGCCCCGAAATCAGGTGAGGGGAAATTCCGCCAGGCCGGATATCCTGAATTCTCCAAGGAAACCGGGAGTCAGAATATCCCTTAGTAGTTTTTGGCCCTTTGGAACTAGAGTGATCTATGAAAGTATTGCTTAGGTATGTATAAGGTGGTGCTCATTGTTGTACAGAAGGCAGCTCCTTTGGTTCGCCTGAGGACAGCGAGGTATGGCTACAGGATAGCAGGAAAAGTAGAATGAGTGAGCACTTGTCCTTACTGTAATCCTGTGGTGCTTGTGATATCCACCTGCGGGGTCACCTCTTCATAAAGCACTTGTAGAAGTGCTTACCTGGAGCTAGTCATATCACCTAGCTGTTGGTTAGAAAAACTAACGGGGGACTGAATAAAGTAAGCTTTGGTAGAAGGCAGGAAAGGGGTCGCGAGGGTTTGCAGACAGGTCTACAGGGTCCAGAAAAGGGACGCAAATGAGGAAAACTGGCCTGGTACAAGACAATGGGGAATGATAGGGAATGTGGCAAATTGAAGTGTCCATGCTGTAACTGAAGAGAGCAGCTGTTCAGCTCTAGCAGATTGTTGCCCTCAGGAATGTGGGTCCAGTGTTCCGAGATAATTCGGTTTTTTATCTCCCAAGCGAAACCCTAAAGCTGGATTTTTGTGAGAAATCTCTGTTTTTAAATGTTGGTAACCAGTACTTCAAAACCACGAAGGCCGAACTAAAACATCCTGGGGTAAATGTGGCCAACATGCTATCAATTTGTAATCTCAAACCTGAACATAGGTTTTATAGCCCAAGAGCAGTAGAGGCGCTTGTTCTTTGCAATAGGGGGAGAGCATGAGTTCTCTAAACGTCCTGGAAGAGAGTAAAGAATGTTAAAAGCAAAGAGTACTTGGCAATTTTTATCAGGTGACCGTTGCCTCTCCATGCAAACTATTAATCATGAAAGACTTTCATCACTAGCCTAAAATGCTTTGAAGCAAAGCTTTAAATCATGCCTTCCTCTTTACCCTAATTCTTACTCCCAGTTTACCACTAGGAAAGTGAGTAACAAAGGTTTAGGTTTTACAAATTGGAAATGTGGCTATTCTGCATATAATAAAGTACAAAAATAGTCTACCTTAAGGCTATGGTTAGTACCTTTACTGTTGCTGCCTTCAAATATTTTGACCGATGCTATTTAAAAAAAAATCTCATCAGTACAGGGAAGTTTTATAGGAAGAAAGAGCTATTTCAGTCCGGAATTAGGATTTGAGGAGGGAGAAGTTTATGAGATAATACAGAAGTAATGAAATTAATTTTCAATGATTGTTTCTCTGAACTTTGAAATTCTTACTCCACCTTCACACTTACTGATTTATAATAATTTTAACAGTTAATATTTACTGAATGTTTACAATGTACTAGACACTTCTTAACTGCGTCACACATGCTGTCTCAAATTTATAATAATCTTATGACAAGTACTGTTATCACTTCTTTTCAGAAGAAGAAACTGAGGGCCAGTTTATGAACTTATTAAGTCCATAGAACTAAAGGAGCAGAACCAGGATTCAGATTCTCTGTTCTTAGCCTTTACTTCATACTTTGCTCACAAACATAGTCCTCACCTCCCTTGGTATACCTCACTTTATCTTTTTTTAAATATATTTTATTGATTATGCCATTACAGTTGTCTTATTCCCCCCTTCATTCCCCTCCACCCTGCACACCCCCTCCCATCCACATTCCCTCCCTTTAGTTCGTGTCCATGGGTCATAAGTTCTTTAGCTTCTACATTTCCCACACTACTCTTGCCCTCCCCATCTATTTTCTCCCCACCGTCTATGCTACTTATTCTCTGTACCTTCTCCCCACTCTCCTCCTCCCACTCCCCTGTTGCTAACTCTCCCTGTGATCTCCATTTCTGTGGTTCTGTTCCTGTTCTAGTTGTTTTCTTTGTTTTTGTTTTAGGTGTGGTTCTTAATAACTGTGAGTTTACTGTCATTTTACTGTACATGTTTTTTATCTTCTTTTTCTTAGATAAGTCCCTTTAACATTTCATATAGTGAGGGTTTGGTGATGATGAACTCCTTGAACTTAACTTTATGTGAGAAGCTCTTTATCTGCCCTTCGATTATAAATGAAAGCTTTGCTGGATAGAGCAATCTTGGTTGTAGGTCTTTGGATTTCATGACTTGGGATACGTCTTTCCAGCCCCTTCTTACCTGTAAAGTCTCTTTTGAGAAATCAGCTGACAGTCTGATGGGAACTCCTTTGTAGGTGACTGTCTCCTTTTCTCTTGCTGCTTCTAGGATTCTCTCCTTCATTTTAATCTTGATTAATGTAATTATGATGTGCCTTGCTGTGTTCCTCTTTGGGTCCAATTTCTTTGGGATTCTCTGAGCTTCCTGGACTTCCTGGAAGTCTATTTCCTTTGCCAGATTGGGGAAGTTCTCCTTTATTGTTTGTTCAGATAACTTTTCCACTCTTTGCTCTTCCTCTTCCCCTTCTGGTACCCCTATAATTCGGATGTTGGAGTGTTTAAAGATGTCCTGGAGGTTCCTAAGCCTCTCCTTATTTTTCGAATTCTTGTTTCTTCATTCTTTTCTGTTTGTTTATTTTTTTTCTTCCTTCTGGTCCACTCCATTGATTTGAGTCCCAATTTTCGTCTCATCACTATTGGGTTCCCTGTACATTTTCCTTTATTTCACTTATTGTAGCCTTCACTTTTTCTTCTAATTTGTGACCAAATTCAGGCAATTCTGTGAGCATCCTGATCAGTGTTTTGAACTGTGTATCTGATAGGTTCGCTATCTCTTTGTCGCTTAGTTGTATTTGTTCTGGAGCATTGATCTGTTCTTCCCTTTGGGCCATTTTTTTTTTGTCTTATTGCACCTGTTATGTATGAGGGGTGGAGCCTTAGGTGTTCTCTAGGGTGGGTCAGCCCAGTCACTGAGTAGTGACACTGTATGTGGGGGCAGGGTCCAAAAGGGAACAATGGCACTTGCTGTGCTCTCCGTCGGATTTCAGCTTCCCCCAAGCAAACTGGGCCTTTCTGGTGCTGATTTCCATGTGGGTGGGTTTTACACATTTTAGAACCCTGTGGGTCTCTCCAATGAACTCTCCTGTGAGACTGGGAGTCTCTTCTGGCACCTCAATCCCCACAAGTGTTTTCAATTGGTGTTTTGAGGCTTTATTTCTCTGTGCTGGAGCCCTGGGTTGCAAGGTCTGTCTCGATCCCCAGTTTTTCCTGGTTTAGCTGTGCGTGAGTGTGGAACCATCCAGTTCACTAGCCGCCTTGTTCGCTATGCCTCGCTGGATCTGTCTGCTGCCATCACACGCCTGGGGTCTGCCAGCCACTGGCTGCATGCCCAGGGTCTGCCTGCTGCTGTCTTGCACACCTGGGGTCCCTTGGCTGCTGCCTTGTGCACCTGGGTCCACAAGCCACCGTTTTTTGTGTGTTTTTTTGTGTGTGTGTGTTTTTTTTTCCCCCGCGACCCCTCTCTGCCTGGGTGCCGCATTCCACCCTTCCTACTGGTCTGGATGAATGTGTCTATTTTAACTCTTTGGTTGTTGGATTTCTGTAAAGTTCAATTTTCTGTCAGTTCTGGTTGTTTTTTTGTTTCTAAATTTTGTTGTCCTTATTTTGGTTCTGTGAGGAGGCACCTATGCCTCCATCATGGTCGGCTGTCTCCTACCTCACTTTATCT